GGGGGGAGAAAAGAAAACCAAAAAAAAAAAAAAAAAGAGTGTAGGGATAGGAACAAGAGAACAGTTGAGCACTAAGACCCATGGAAAGCATTGCTTCCCCTAGGTCTTTTGGCCAGCAGCCATTTTGTGCTAGCAGCCTTGGGGAACCAGGTAAGCATGGGGGCTGCGGGTGTTGAGGGCTGGAGGGAACTCAGGGAGGTGGCGGGGAGGCCGGGCGCCGAGTGTTTGTAGGGTTGTCAGGTGCCTGGCCTGGGGAAAAAGTCAGAAAATACCGGACATTTTAGGTGTTTGGTATTCTCTGAATTTTTTTACCGGACAGGAGGCAAAAATACCGGACTGTCCGGGTGAACACCGGACACCTGGCAACCCTAATCCGGCGCTTTACTTGTCTCCATCTCCTCTATCTCTGGCAGAAAGTGAGAGCATTTTCATTGCGCATTTGCTGCTGAGCAGGCTGCGAGGTCTGGGCGTACCCAAGACTGGAGCACTTTGGCCCACGTATTCCATCCCGAGGAATATCACACGCCCCGTTGGACACAGCCACCAGGGACGGCAGTTCCTTGGCTGTGCTGCTGCCAACACATCCTGCTTGGACTCAGTGGGTGCGTCTACACAGCAGCGTTATTTCCAAATCGCAAGGAGTAAAAAGCGATTTCGAAATACTGGCGAGCTGGAGGACTTCTTGCTCCGACTCCTGTAACCCTCCCTCCGGAGGAGCGAGGGGAGTCGGAGGAGGGGTGCTCGTCCTTCCACTTCCTGCTGTAGACGGCGACAGAAGCCGAATTCAGCTATTTCCACTTCAGCGGCACAATTGACGTAGCTGAATTCAACGTGTGCCCTGCAGCGTAGCCGTGAGCAAGTTCGCTACGGACACGGCCAGAGAGCAGCAGCCACCCCTGGCGCCGTGGAAAGGGAAGGAAGAGGGAGTGCTCTCCGGCGGGCCGGTGTGGATGTGCTCTTGGACAGGGATTCGGCTTTGCGGCCTGGGGGTGCTCCCATGTCTGCGACAGCCCCTGCCACCAACAGGTGCCGTGCTCTGGCTGCCGTCGTCCTGCTCAGCTGTGCGCTACCACCGGCTACCGGGAGCTCCAGGGGGAGCTGAATTCTGTGGCCCCTGGTGCCAGGGCATTTGTAGAGCGTACAAGCCTGGCTGCTGGGCAGGCCATAGATAGACACTGGAGCTTTTCCCGTGTGCTGCGGAACACGCCCCTTTCTGACGAGCGCTGCATGCGACCTACCGTCTTCCCTGCAAAACTAACTTCCACCGACGGGTCCACCCCGACCCTTTTGTTGACGTGCAGCTGGAACATGGAGCGGAAGTAATGCAGGCAGGAGTCCTCCACTGGAGAGGGCAGAGAGATGCGGTGTCGGGGAGCTCTCGGACGGCGCCTGCTGCAGAGAGACCCAGGGCCTCCCCGTATTTGGCTTGTACAAGCAGCATTGCCCCCGGCCCCTTTGGAGCCCTCCCTGCGGACGGGTGAGCACAGGGACCCTCAGACCCGGGCGTTACCTGTGTTCTGGGACGAGCCGCAGGGCTGACGGCACCATCCCCACCCAAAGAGCAACCCCCTGAAAAGTCTGGCTCCCAGTCACCTGCTCTGCCTACCCGGCCAGGGAGCCACGCTTACTCTGGGGCAGATCCTCCGCTCTGTAGACACGGAGCTGAACGGTGGCCAGGCACACGGGCATCGCTGGCGGCTTGAGAAGGTTGGATTCCACGTCCTCGCTCTCTGCAGGCTTGTTCAGGTCCTGAGCGAGGAGAGAGCAGGCTGAGAACGGAGACAGCGGCTCACCATAACCCAAGGCAGGCCCACAGCCATGCCAGGGATGTGGCTGCCTGGGCCCAGGGGTGTCCCTGCTCCGGGGAGAGCCACCGGCCGTAGGGAGCAGGAGAGGGATTCTTTGCAGCCCGGGCAGGGGCAGGGTCAGATCCTGGTGTCTCAGGAGCGATGGGGGCTCTGCCACTGGCTCCAGGGGCAGGAAGATTGAGCCCTTGCGCTGCAACCGGGAGGCGCCCTGGGGCACCTGGGTAGGGTGGTGGCCGGCAGCAGCCTGCGGATGGGTGGGGCGTGAAGCCAGGTATGCCAGGGTGAGTGCAGATGTTAGCAACAAGGTGCACCAGGGACACAGGGCAGCCACTGCTGACCCCACAGCCCTGCTGCCATGGCTCAGCCTAGCCGGTAGGCGGCCCAGAGAGTTCCAGCGAGGGCCAGGAGGGGTCGGGGGAAGCCCAGGAGCAGCCCAATGCAGGTGCTGGCCGTGTTCACGTTGGAGGTTTCAGCAAACCCAAGCCCGCGGGAGGGAGCTGCGGTGGTTTGGGCGCTGACTCGGGGAGAGGGGTGCGAACTCAGCAGATCCCAGCCCCCCTCCTGTCCTTTCCCTGGGGGGGGGGGGGTACCGG